TACTGTGTCATGCTCCAATTCAGTCCAGCTGAGTTCTGCTCCATGCCTCTTTTGGTTCTACTCTTCCCACGTCATTTCTGAAAACTCACGTCTCAGTGGGAAGTGACCGGCTTCATCTGTGATTTATGAATGGTGAGAGGGAGCAGAAAGGCAAAACTGGTCTGTGGTCTGTCATGAAAGAGCCTAGTGATTAGAGAGTCAGGTAAGAAGGTACTTTGTGTGTCAGCTGGACAAATAAAAGAAGACAAGTAAATCTGGTTATAGAACAGTAAAATGCATAAAATTATCTAAATTATTAGGCTAGCCAAGCCAGTGGTGAAATGTGTTGTAGCAGTGATGGATGACTTTAAGGTAGACGTGGGCAGCATCAAGGATTGGCTCTGAGACTTGTTTTTGTTTGTGCTGGTGATGGACAGACTAAAAGATGAGTCCAGGCAGGAATTCTCGTGGACTGTGATGTTTGCAGATGACATTGTGATCTGTGATAAGAACAGGGAGCAGGTAGAAGAGTACATGGAGGTGTGCTTTGAAATAAAGAGGAATGAAAATCAGCCATAGCAAGACAGCATATGTGTGTGAATGGGAGCGAGGCAGGTGTAACAATAAAGCTATAAGGAGCAGGGGTCACAAAGGTGCAGGACTATAAGTAGGGTCCAGGAAAATGGGGAGTGTTGTAAAGAAATGAAGAAGATATACCAGCTGGGATGGAGTGGATGGTGAAAAGTTCAGGAATGATTTGTGAAAAAAGGGTGGCAACAAAGGTAAAATGAAAGGTTGAATGAAAGAGAATGACTCACCGTGGCAACCCCTGAAAAGGGGAAAGCTACAGAACAGTAGCTAAACTGGTAATCTCATTTGGTAGTCCAGCTCTCTGGTAATCCACCAACCAGGCAACAAAACCTCATAAAAATTAAAATAATAAATAAGCTGAAGTTCTATTTAACAAGTATTATGTATGGTCATGCTTCTCACCGCTTTAAAAAGGCATGTTTTTGGTGCCTCATGAGCAAGAATTGTATAATTTTAGCCACAAGAATGAACTGTAATCACAATCAAGAGCAGGGCAGGAAATTGAAGTTTCTATATTAGCTGCTTTGTGGTTTGTTCAACATGTTTTGTTATTGAACAAGTTAAGCATCATGGGATGGTCTGCACTGAAATTCCCTTTTATTTTCTGTGTGTTTTGAACATCTTCCATGGACATGCTGTTTCAGTGTAATTACATATTCAATTGAGTATTTTATTTATTTTAAAAACTCATTGAGGGAGAGGTGGAACAGAGGCTAAAGAAGGTGGGCTTGTGATCGGAAGGTCGCTGGTTTGACTCCCCGGACTGACATCAAAATGTGAGTAGGAAAGATGAAGCACGACTTTGCTCCACTCTGGGCCCTTGAGCAAATCCCTTAACAGCCACAATCTGCTCCCCTGGGCACCAGCTCTCTGCTCCACACAGAGGGCTGTGGTAGCTCTGTTGTCTGTGGTTGTGTCAGAAATTTTTAGTTTTTTTGTGCACTGCAGGGAAGATGCCCTCTTACTTATTGTAAATGCTGCATTCCTCCCCTCCATTGACTATGGTGACATTATTTACATGAATGCTCCTGCAAGCACCCTGCAGATCTTGGACTCTGGTGCGATAAGATTCATAACTGGCTGTAACTATCGTGCCCATCACCTCACCCTGTATTCACGGGTCAATTTGTCATCATTAACTTCATGCAGATTCTCACACTGGTAAATTTTCATCTTTAAATCACTTCTTGGTCTGCTGCCTTCATACATCTCCTCCTACATGTCACTGCATGGGTGCAGCTACAGCGTGCGCTCTCAGGACATACTGAAATTACTTGCAGTGTACCCTCAATGTGGACCGAAATGGGCAAAAGGGCCGTCTCTTACTCCGCTCTTGTAACATGGAACACCTTGCAAAAAGATCTGAAGCTCTCAACCTTGAACTCTCTAAGGAATTTTAAACAACTGTTAAGTTCATGGCAAAAACTAACACAGACATGTTCTTCATTTTAGCATTTTACATCGTTTTATAATGTAGCTGTTTTTGTTTCATTGTTATATCATTTATTTTATTTATGTTTTATTTTATATGCTTTTATATGATTGTATATTGTTGTCTGTACCTCATCAGGTCTCTCTTGTAAATGAGTCCTCGTGGGTCAGTGAGACTAACCTGTATAAATAAAGGTTGAATAAAATTTAACACAAGTAACGCCACATGCACTTTAGTAAAATTTTAACTGATGACCTGTGTTTAATTTTATTTATTTTTTAACTTAACTACATTATTTTAGTACTTTCTACAGAATACCTGGTATTCTGCAGAATACTAGGCCAAAACCTTGAAACTTAAAAAAAAAAAAAAGTTTTGACACAAAGTCTGAAATCAAGTCTGAAATTAAGAAACCAGTCTGAAACCAAATCTAAAGGCAAGTCTGAAACTGAATATGAAATAATCTAAGAAACTAAATGTGAAACAGACCAAATCTGAAAGCAGCTATGAAACCAGGTCTAAAACCAGGAAATGAACTAAGTTTTGAAATCAGACTCAAACATGGTCAGAATTCAAGTCTGAATCAAGTTTATAATTAGATAGAAATTTAAGGAACCAGGTCAAAAACATTGTCTGAAATTAAAAAGTTAATTCTGACACAAGGTCTGAAACTAAGTGTCAAACCAAAAAAACAGGTCTGAGATTATGTATGAAATTATGAAATTAGGTCTGAAATCAATTCAGAAGCTAAATATTTAATAAGGTTTAAATCTGGATCATAAAATCTGGAACCCATGTCTGAAATCTGGTCTAAAACCAGGTTTGAAATTGGGTTTGAAACAAGGTCTGATAGTAGGTCTCAATCTAAATCAGAAACCAATCTGAAACCAAATTTGAAACTAAGTCTGAAACTGAGTCTGAAACTGAATCTAAAACCAGATCTGCATAAGGGTCTGAAATCTGGTCAGAGTCAGAGAGAGTCAGTGTTTTTTTATTTGTCATTCACACCACATGTGGTAGAATGACATTGTGTACACAGGGTCCCAGTTACATACAACAAAAGTATAAAATGTAAAATAAAACAGTAATGAGATCTAAGATATGAACTAAGAAAAATTATAAAAACAATAAGCACTAGTAGTACAAAACAATACACCAAACAGCAGCACGAACATGAGTCTGTGTGAGCAGATGAGCACACATGAACACATCAACATTGAAACAGATCAGCAGCAACATGAAACAGATCAGCAGCAACATGATGTGATTTTTTTCACAGTGATTATTCTGGTTAGATATTCATGAGTCTAACAGCCTCAGGGTAGAAGCTGTTCCTCAGTCTAGTGGTTCTACACTTAATGCTCCTTAACCTCCTTCCTGAGGGGAGTGAGGCAAAAAGTGTGTGTGCTGGGTGAGTGGGGTCCTTCATGATGCAGGTGGCCCTCTTCCTGCATCTAGAGGTGAAGATGTCTGTGATGGTGGGGAGACTGACTCCAACAGACTTCTGTGCAGCCTTCACCACTCTCTGCAAAGCTTTTCTTTCTGCAGCTGTGCAGCCTCCATGCCACACGTTGATGCTGGAGCACAGGATGCTCTCCACTGCACACCTGTAGAAGGAGGTGAGGACTGAGCTTCCCTGTCCAGCTCATCTCAGCTGCCTGAGGAAGTAGAGTCTCTGATGAGCTTTCTTGATCAGGCTGGTGGTGTTGTTGCCCCAGCTGAGGTTATCATTCTGGTGCACACCCAAGTACTTGTAGCTGGAGACCACTTCCATCGCAGATCCTCCTATGTTCAGAGAGGGTAGCTGCGTTTGTTCCGTCTGAAGTCCACGACCATCTCCTTCGTTTTCTTCACATTGAAGTGATGGTTTTTCTTCCTGCACCAGCTCTTCAGGTGTTCCACCTCCTGCCTGTAACTGGACTTATCATTGTTTGTGATGCATCCCACCACCACTGTAATGTCTGCAAACTTTACAATGTGACAGCCTGGATGGGTAGCTGTACAATCATACGTGAGCCGAGTGAACAGGAGAGGGCTCAACACACATCCCTGAGGAGAGCCAGTGCTGAGGGTTATGGTGGAGGAGGAGAAGTTGTGGATCCTCACTGACTGCAGTCTGTTTATTAAAAAGTATAGTACCCAATTGCAAATGGAGGGGCTTAGTCCTAGTGTGAGTAGTTTGTCCATCAGTGTTTGGGGGATCATGGTGTTGAAGGCAGACGTTAAGTCCACAAAGAGCATACAGACGTAGGACACAGAGCATGGTCTGAAACTGAGTCAAAATCAGACCTAATGTGAAGTCGGAAACTAAATCTAAAGTCAAGATTCAAACCAGATTTGAATACAAAAAAATCAGGTCTGAAACTAGGACTGAAATCCAAAAACCAGGTCTGAGACAAAGTATGAAATCAAGAACCAGGTCTAAAATTTAGTGTGAAACTCAGAATTTCATACTAATTCTGGACCCAGTTGTGAAATCTGGTATGAAACTAGGATTGAAACATGGTCTAAAATCAGAAACCAGGTCTAAAATCTGGTCTTAAAAAATGTCTGAAACAAAGTCCGAGACCAGCTCTGAAACCAAGTCTAAAACAAGCTCTGAAACTCTATTTGAACCCAGTAGTCCAGATATTAAATCAGAAAACCATGTTGGAAACTAATTACCGGTGGAAAACCAGATAAGAGACCAATAAACCAGGGCTGAAACTAAGTTAGAAACTAGGGGTCCAGGTCTGACACCAAGTCCCAGACTAGGTTTAAAATCTGGCTTGAAATATGAAACTAAGTTTAATCAAGTAAGTGTAAAACTAGTAAATCAGGTTTGAAATCAGAAAACCAGGTCTAAAACCAGAAATCCAAGACTGAAATGTCTGAAACTGGGTCTGAAAGTTTAAAATTTTGTAGGTAGCAGTCGCATTATAAATTGTAAACATTCTTGATGTTTTAGATGTCTCTGATGGTTCTGTAGATTAAAACCTGTGTCTCCATGTGCTATCAGGAACATCTTTGATTGGCTGGTTTACTCTCTACTGATGGTGTCCTTCAGCTTCCACATGGCTGACGTGTTTCATCCATCCTCCTGTTTGCGCACGCTCAGTCTGCGCCTGTTCTCTATCTCTATCATATTTTTGTGGCTGCGACTCATGAAACACGTTAGAGCCTTCAGGTACAAAACTTTTATTACAAACAAATGTAAAGTTTTAATGAAATAATATTCTTTCACGTAGTCAACCATTAGAACAAGCTTTAAGTGATATAAATTGTGTTCAACTAGAATAAATATAATATTCAGCTCAGCAAAAGATAGATCCAATGCAGGCACAGAGACAAAATTGCAGTGTCGTCTGCATAAAGTGAAAGTTAGCATTATATACTATACTGATGTACGATGTAGACTGACATAACGGTTTCAGGATGTGTCCCTGGGAAACACAATACGGAAACCTGAAGAGAGACTTTTTGTCTGACAGGTTTGAAACAAGTTGACAGAGGGGTCCCCTGGTTCAATGTCAGCAAAATCAATAAAACAAGTGCAGTTTTGATGACACAAAGAGCCTTAAAAAAACAACAGTAACACTTCAAGTGTATAATACATACAGTATATGAAATATTTGCACAAGTACCATAATCTCCTGAAAATGTGAGTTTAGAAAAAAGGATGGCCATTTGTGCAGGTTGATGGGGCCGTTTATTGTCATGCTGGGGAACATTGTTGGAGATGTGATGTGTTTCCTCTTCTTGTACGCTGAGATCTTCATCCCCTACGCATGCAGCTTCTGGATCATATTTGGAGGTTAGACCACCCCTGTGATTGTTTAACTGTTTTTGAGAAGATCAGAGTTTGTTCATAACCATCTGATGATGATGTCTCCACAGGCTCGTCCTCAGTTCCCAGCATGCAGTCTGTCTCAGGTCTGCTCTACAGTCTGTACCGGATCACTCTGGTGGATGAATACGAGTATGCTGCCATGGTAAAGGTGGATGATGTCATGGCTCCTCTGCTGTGTGGAACATTTCTGGCTGCATCCTCTATCTTATGTGTCAACCTGCTGATTGCACTGCTCACTGACACATTCCAGAGGTCAGAGGTCACATCAGGACAAAACTCCTGAACTGAGACATATTAGTAACCAAACAAAAACCTGGTCTATCAACTAGACTAACGTCAAACAAAGACTGAGACCTGAACCTTACAAAGATTTGAACTGGCATCTAGACATGAGTGAATGAATGAATGAAAGGATGGGTGGATGAATGAATGAATGAATAGGTTGTTAAATGAATAAATGAATGGTTAGCTGAACAAACGAATGGATGAATAAATGAAGAGTAGACTGGATTAATGAATAAACAAATGGATACATGATTAATGAACAAACAAATAAATTAATAAAAGATGGCTGAATTAATAAATAAGTGATTGGTTGGATAAATTGATAAATGAAAAATAATGACGATTCAATGAATGAATGAATTAACGGATCATTGTTGGATAAATAAAAATAAATGAATGAATTGCATGGTTAAAGCAAAAACTAATTAATGATTTGTTGGTTGATAAACAAATTATTTAATCATTTATTTATTGGTTGAATGAATGAATGGATGAATGAATGAATTATTTATTAGTTGAATAAATGAATGAATGAATGATTTATTGGTTGTATGAATGAATAAATGACTGAAAGATCCATTGTTTAGACACATGAATGAATGAATGATTTGTTGATTGGATAAATGAATGATTTGTTGTGCTAATGAATAAATTAAAGCATAATTAAACAATTTGTTTGTTGGATACATAAATAAATGAATGAATGAATTATTGATTCATTGGTTAATGAATAATTTAATTAATCATACGACTAAATAAACAAACGAACGAACGAACAAACGAGCAAAAGAAGGATTGAACAAACAAATGAGCAAATAAATTAATAAATTATTAATCATTGGTTGGATGACTAAATAAATGAATGAACGAAGGATTGACAAACAAATGAACAAATCAATTAATCAATTATTGGTTGGATAAAGTAATGCATGAATGATTCATTGGTTGGATAAATGAATAAATGAATGAACAAATGAATAACTGACTATTGGATGAATTGATGAATGAACGGTTTGTGTTTCAGAGTTCATGATAACTCGCAGGCTAACGCTGTGATGCAGCAGGCGGCCGTCATCCTGCAGGTGGAGGAGTCCATGCCTCGCCTGCGATGTTTCTATGACAACCAGTACATTTTCAAACATTGCTCACCATTGGCTATTGCCTGCAAAGACATCACAACAAGCTCCCATTACCACCAGGAACTTGGACACATCAACGCACAGATCAAAGTTTGTATTAAAGGAATCAAAGTTTGTTTTCTTTACGCATATTTAACAGGTCATGATAGCATTTCTTTGTCCTGCAGGAGACGCTGGACCAGTACCTGGTCCTGCAGAGGGATGCAGATACCACGAGAGGCGATGAGACAATGAGAAGTTCAAAGTGAGATCATCAAGACATACCTGTGTCTCATCTGTGTTGAAATGTAAGCATCAAGTCTAACAGGAAGTGTCTTTACTAGAGTTCAGAGGGAAGAGGACCAGCAAGCACTTCACAACCAGGACCCATATAGACAGGAGCTTCATGCAATCCAAGCAGAGCTGAAGACGCTTCAGACTCTGGTCCAGCAGCTGGTACAGAACCAAGCTATGACCGGTTCAGATCAAGTTTCTGGACCCAGGTTATAGGAAAAACTGCAAATCACCATTTTTAAAAAGGATTCTTCACTGAGATTGAAAACATTGTATTTTTTACATTTATAGAAACAGCTGACCTGTTCCTGGTAAACTTTCATCTAAAGTAACTAAGTATAGGTTACTGAATAAAATTTAAAATAAAATCAGCAATGTGTGAGGATGGTGCTCTCTGGTGGCTGGTCCCCATCCTAACACTCCCTGGTTTCCCTGTTAATTGTCCTGATAGTCTCCACCTTCGTGTCCTGTTCAGGTGTGTGTGTATACAAGTCTGTGTCTTTGTATTACTTGTTGTCTGAGCATCGTCTTGTAATCGTCTAGTGATCTGGTTTTCCTCCTCGTGTCCCTGGTTATTCTCTCGTGCCATGCAAGTGTTTTGCTGCCACATCAGCTTATGATTTTGTATTATTAAAGTGCTTCTAATTTTCCTCCCTGGTTCTGAGTCCTGTCTGCACCGCTGGGTTCTGCGCCTGAAACACCAATCCTGACACAATGCAGCATACTTCTATGATATTGTAGGGCTCTATGAACATTTTTTATCCCCGGTCTTTTTTTTTCTGTGTAAAAGTCATGCTTTATGAGGTAACTTTTTTTTTTTTTCAACTAAAAAGTGTCTTAATATAATGTGGATTTCTAAAAATTAGGTAATTAAATGGGAGACGATCATAAACTTCACAAATAATTAAAAATGTAAACTAAATTACAGCAAAAAAAAAAAGGTTGACAGAACCACAACAGAACCCTTCTCTGGATCCCCACCTAGATTTCTGTTACACCACCGATAACCTGTAAGAAAGAACAAACAAATCAACATCAACCCTCAAATGCCAACCCGGACCCATCTGGCATCATCCTTTCTCCCCAGGGATCCAGAGAAACACTTGTGTATATCTGCACCTCATTGTAATTAACATCGTTTGAACTTTACCTGCTGTGTCTCTCGTTCTGGGTCTCGAACTACAGTATCTGGGTCCTGAGCTTACAACAGGACGAGCAGCATCTTCTATCTCATTAGCCTAACAAAAAAGATACAATCCTTAAAATGTAAGATCCTGACTGAATTGTTGTTGATCTTATTGCTTACTTGTTTTTTTTTTCTGATCCTAAAGTAAATTACCCTTGGATTTCATGACAGATGGTATTGTTGTTGTTGTTGTTGTATCTTTTTAAATATGATGTCAGGAAATCTGAAATTTTAGGCATAAATATCCCAGAATTTAAGTCGTCCTGACATGACTCTTGGGGTTAAATATAAAATTAATTTGAAAGAGATTAAATTCAAGAAAACTGATAGGAAAAAAAAAAAAAAAACAGAAGTTTGTAAACAATGTTAAAAATATGTATACCAAAAAAATGGAAATTTTTTAGAATAGTTTTTTAAGGACATCTCTTCTGAGTAGGTCTGTAATTTGAGTCCATTTGGTCTAACCATGTCTGAATTCAAAAAGAACAAAAACGTCTGCACTTTGTCATGGTATCACAGGGTTGATTTACATTTTAAAACTTTTTTGGATATATTGTTTTTTTTATAAACAAAATTGGATGCTGCAGTTGCAAGATTTTAAGAATAGTGGGTTGGATTTTTGTGAAGGAGATGCTCTCATGATAAACGTCACTCTTGGCCAATCAAAGGCATGCTGCATGCTGACATCGAATCTTCAGCTGAATGTCAGCACCTGGGTCCAGGAGGTCCTAAGAACTGCACCAGAAGTGGGTGGGACCACCCAATAAAAAAATGACAAAACTGAACTGGGTCAACCTGAGTAGGGCTGAGTTGAACTTGTGCAAAGGGTCCAGCGGTGTCCCACCTCCTCATCCATCATGTTAGTCCTCCTTCTCTTCCTCCTGTGGACCATCTCACTGACTCCGCACTTCTGCTCCAACACTTTGACTGGTTTTGGGTTCTGGATCTAGTCTTGTACCTGAGACCAGACTGAGTTTTCACTTAAGTCAAAGAGTTGATTTTAAACAGATCTGGTTCTGAGAGTTAAACTTGTAATTTGGGATCAGAAAACATCATTAAGTATCAGAGATGATTATTAACAATGTCTTTATCATCCTGCAGTTCGCCCATCAGAACCTTTTGCATTTGACCCAGTGAAAGTAAAACCATGGCGTGATGTGTTAAAAGGGATCAGAGTTGCAAATCCTCCTTGGCTTTTTTAAATCTGTAACCTTTGACCCCTAATCTTCCTCACCTTGGGTTCCCTGTTACAGGTGTTTGCCTCCACCTTCATCTACCAACAGATCTTTGTCCTGTCAGCCGATGCATTCACTGACTGATGGATTCCTGACTTAACAAAAAAAAATGGCATCGACATAGTTATGAATACTGCATTTCAATCCTGTAACCTTCTGATTCTGCATGAAATGGACCCATCTCAACCCTTCTCGTGTGTTCCTGTCCTTCTAACATATACTCTACTAATTCTACAGGAGTTAGTCTCCTCTCAACCTCTCTTGCGTCACGACAGCCATCCTGTACCTCGCCTGACATCAGCAGAGTTAATCTGATCTCTCAGCTGATTAACTCTGTTCATCTGCTGTAACCACGACAACGACCTACACTGTCAAAAATAAAATAAAATCTGGAAAATGATCTTGAAATTACAAGAGTGAAGAAAAAAACCCCCAAAGCTTTAAGATAACTCCCAAAATCTGTCATATCTGGAATTGTTTAAAAATTTTTTTTGAAAAACCGTGAAGGTGTTCAAAGACTATCAGCAAGAAATAAATAACTAAACAAACAAATATATAAATAAATACTTGTTTTTGTGAAATCTAAAAAAAAAAAGCTAATAATTGCTGAGGTGCTTCAGATTTTTAATTTTCTGTTTGACGATTGATTCTCCTTTTGTCCACTAACAGACCACAGTAGTTTCTTCAGGTTCTAACCTTCTTCGTGTAAACTTTACATTTCAGGTTAGGGACCTCAGCTGTTTTGTTTTGCCTTCAGACGTGTCACAGTGTTTAAAAAAAGAAGTTGCACAGTTTGATTTCATTCACATTTTTTTTTATGTTAAACTGTAACATCAAAGTGACTACAAACATCAACAACATCACAAAACACAAACAAATAAACTAAAGATGACAACATGTCACACCTGATCATGTCCAGTTTTAGTCGACAGAAACAGTTTGACAGGCTCAGATCAATAAAAAACGTGTGAAAGAGAAATAAATTATTCCAGATGTTTTTTATGTCCAGCTGCATATTCTGTTTATGTCAATGAAAACAACCCATCCAAAAGGTTCCACCTTCTAATTCCTGTTACAGACTTTCTGTCAGTACTGCCATGTTACACACCTGATACACAACTCATTGCACAGCTGTTACACACCTGTTTTACACACCAGTTTCACAGTCTGTACACCTGCTTAAAGTTGTGATGCATGTTTACACACATCTGTTTTACAAATACTTTTTTACACCCCTTTTTACACAACTTTCTGTTGTCTAACACGTACACACCTTTTTACGCATCTGTTTACAAACCTATTTAGAAACCTGTTAATACACGTGTGTAGACTGAACACCTGTTTTAAATACCTTTTTACATGTGTAATAAACGCTGGCTTACACACTTGCGACACACCCGTGACACACCTGTTTACACACCTATTGCACGCTTGTCTGTTGTCTGCACACAAGATACACATTTGTTTATATGTCTGTTTACAAACAGGTTTGTAGTATGCACACCAGTCTACACACCTGTTTACAAACCAGTTTACTCACCGGTCTGTAACTTATGCACCTTTTTCACACACCTAATTTACACACCTACTGTATATAGACATCGGTTTACACACGTGTTAACCAATCTGTCTACACAGCTGTCTGCACACCTGTTAACACACCTGACACATATTTCTGCACATAATTCCATATTACATGTTCATTTATATATTTTGTGTCTGGCACTAGTAAACTTGTGTGTATTTTTCTAGAACAATGCAGGTGTGTGTACAGGTGAGTTGTGTGTGTACAGGTGAGTTTGCTGGTGTGAATACAGGTGTGCACACAGAAATGCGTACAGGTGTATGTACAGACTTCTGTACAGGTACGCCTACACATGTGCACACAGTTGTGCGTACAGATTTGCGCATGAATATGCATACAAATGTACACGTTTACCTGCTGCTTAACACAGGTGGCCGCTGGGAGTTTAGCCATATGTTTCCATGGTAACCAGCCACAACAGTTGTTTGACGTGATGGTGGAGACCAGAACTTGATCGATATTAAATGTCAAAGTTACACAAACAAAAATCTGAACGTAAACAAACACATTTGGCAAAAAGTTCTTCAATGGTGAAATGTGCACGCTCTGTAGGACAAGCTAAAGAACTGTGCCGTTCGGGTTGTCAGATGTGTCTGAGGTCAGCTGATCTGTGCTGCGTTCAACTGGTCGGGTTCAGGTCACATCAAGACCATGAGATTTATTAACAGCAACCAGTTTCTGTTGTTCCTGCTTCAAAATAAAATATTTTCAACATATTTACAAACTGGAAAATATCCACCTTCACCATAGGTGTGTGTATGTGTGCATGTGAGTGGGAGTGTGTAAATGAGTGTGTGGGGATTTGTGTCATCAGTACTGAACTTGGATCCATGCTGCTGCTCCGATCTCAGTTTGTAAAATTGTTTGCTGTGGAGGTTGGGCGGGGCTTGGTCCTTTGCAGTGGGTGGGGTTTTCAGGTGGCGGCCTCGGGGGCGTCTCCGCCCTCTTGCACCTGAGTACCCCTCCCTAGTATTTTGAGCTTGCCAAGCACGTCAGTGAAGGTCTCTTTGACACCTTTCTCCAGCAGCCAGCCTTCACTCTCACATTCAGGGTTCTCAGGGTCCGCCATCGTTTCCAGAGTGGTGCTCAGGTACTTCAGGCCCGCCACATCTGCTGACTGACACAAACACACACAGAGTCCATGTTTACACAATGTCAGCGGGAGAACACTGTTCTCAGGAGGACATTTGTGGCACTACAGGAAGTGCTTTAATTTCAGACACAGTTAATAAAATTGAATTCCCTCCCATATTCTCTTATCTTGGGGAGTGGTGGCGCAGAGGTTAGAGAGGTTGGTCTGTGATCCGAAGATCGCCGGTTCACGCCAAAATTGTGGGTGGGGTAGGTGAAGCACCCACACTTGCCCCCATCCTCATTCGCCCCACTCTGGGCCCATGAGCAAGGCCCTTAACCCCCCATCTGCTCCCTAAACAGGTCTCTCTTGAAAATGAGCTCTCGTGGCTCAATGAGACTACCTGTATAAATAAAGGGTAAATTTAAAAAAAAATCTAATCAGTTTAAGCAAAAAGTGTAAATCAAAATGTAAACAATTAGGTCAACTAAATGTTCCTATTGAAAACATCAGCTGATTGATTGATGGTTGCCTAGAGGCTTTAAATTCATATATATATATATATATATATAATTTTGCAACTAACCAATATATTTAAATGCTTTGTCAACATAAATCTGTCTTTATACTCAGTTTTAGGTCTAATAACTGACTGTCAGGGAATGAAAAATGAGTGACTGATCTGAAGTTTTATTACCCATCCATCCATCCATCCATCCATTTTCTTTACCCGCTTATTCCATTTTGGGTCTCGGGGGTCGCTGGTGCCCATGTCCAGCAATCACTGTGCGAGGGGCGGGGTACACCCTGGACAGGTTGCAAGTCCATCATAGGGCCACATAGAGACAAACAACCATTCACTCTCTCACTCACACCTTGGATCAATTTAGAGTTACCAATCAGCCTAACATGCATGTTATTTTTTTTTTGGTCTGGGGGAAGAAACTGGAGTACCCGGAGAAAACCCACGCATGCACGGAGAGAACATGCAAACTCCACCCAGAGAGGCCCCTGGACCGGGGTTTGAACCAAGGACCTGCTCACTGAGAGGCAGCAGCTCTACCAGTTGCGCCACCCAAGTTTTATTACAACCCTTGAAATAAAAGCTCAGCTGCTGGTGTCTATTCTCAGTCCAAATGGACATTTAGAACTGCAACCCAAACTCACTTGTATATTATCGTGCACAGATTTTTGTGCACAAGTTGTCCCAGTTTTCAGAACTGATCATTTTTACTCTCAGATGTGACTTCACATATTCGAGTACCTGAAGTTTCAGAACTCTAGTAAATGTACTTGTAAAAATACAAAAGAGCTTTTGATGCTCCTAGGTGAAAACAGGAGAGTTCCTCAGGTGTCTTCAGTTCATGACGATGGTGTTAAAACTTTTGACGTAGCAAAACCAATCAGTTCTACTCAGGAAGTGACCTTGTTTTTCCCAGAATGCATCCTGTTTCTGTTGACAGATTAACACCCACTTCCCCAGAATAGTTCCTGATCCTCAATGAGCCTGAACTCCCCCCTGCTGGCAGATTACCTGTAACAGGACTCACACTATCAACTGTCAGAGCATATCCAGCTCAATAATCACCTGGAGTTGAACAGCACCTTCTTGGACTGACTGAAAACCTGATTTCTGCATGATGGTCAAACTGTCGCAAGTTTTCCTGGCCACATCAGGAAAACAAACAAACAAAAAACATCAACTCTAAAGCTCATTAATGATGTCAATAATCTGCTGAGATTACATCAGTCTATTAGCTTCAGGTATTCTTCGGCCATGATCTTGTTTTAAACAAGATTAAGAATGCTGCTTATCCTCCATGAACTTATTCCCCCAGGGAAAACAGCTGAGATTTCAGCCTCCAGTTAACAGAAAATGACCTGATGCAGCTGAGCCATGTAACCATGCAAACTAAAGTGTTTCAAAAACATGAAATGGGACATTACAAAATTCAGGTTACAGTCTCAGTCAAAAGTTTCTATCCACTCATCATGGACATACAGTGTAAATGTAATATAAATTTTGGTATTTTAATATTTTTAACTGTTCTTTTCCCAGGCTGAAATGATTACACACTGTACTGTTTTAATAAATCTTAAAAACAAGTTTGAACTTATTTTGAATTTTCTCTGAGCCACACAAGATCTGAATTACACATTAAACTTTAATATATCCATACATTCACCTAAATCTGAAGGAAACTGGTTCTGATGTACAGAAACAAGTAAGGCTCAAGTCTGCAATGAACTGAAAACAGCCATAATCTGTTTTTATTGTTTTTGTTTGTTTGTTCTGTTTGTTTGAAACCATTGCATGCATCGCTGGAAAGGGAGAAACATATATTTTAAAGGTTGGTTGTAGTGCTGGGTGCACAAATGAACACATAACAGGATGTTACAGGATGGAATAAAGAAAAAGGAGGACTTTACTCCTCCTTGAATTGCCACCTTATCAGGGTGGAGGAGTTTATGTGCCTGAATGATCCTAGGAGCTATGATGTTGGGGGCAATTATATTTGCCCCTGGTAGGGTCTCCCAAGGCAGATTGGTTCAAGGTGACAGGCCAGACAAAGAGTGATTCCAAAGACTTTTGATGGACAATACATATCAAAGAACTCTGTGTCCCTTGCCTGGACATGGGTTACCGGGGCCCCACCCTGGATCCAGGCCTGGGGGAGGGGCTCTTCAGAAAGCACCTGGTGACAGGGTCTCTACCCATGGGGCCCAGTCGGGCTCAACCCAAATGAGCAGCATGGGTATGCCTTCCTGTGGGCCCACCACCTGCAGGAGGGCCACAAAAGTTGTGTGCATTATGCCATGGGCAGTGGCCAAAGGCGGGGACCTTGGCACTCTGACGTTGGATTACCAAAGCTGGGTCTTGGGACATGGAATGTGACCTTTCTGGTGGGAAAGGAGCCTGAGCTTGTGCGTGAGGTTGAGAAGTACTGACTAGATATAGTGGGACTCACCTCAATGCACAGCATGGGCCCTGGAACTGATCTCCTTGAGAGGGGCTAGACCTAATTCCAAACTGGAATTGCCCATGGTGAGGGGCACTGAGCTGGTGTGGGTCTACTCTTAGCCCCCCCCAACTTGGTGCCTGTGTGCTGGAGTTTTCCCTGCTAGATAAGAGGGTAGATTCCCTACTCCTTTGGGTGGGGGGACGGGCTCATCTGGTAAGGATGCTCTCTGGGCACCTCCCTATTGAGGTGCTTCGGGCATGTCCAACTGGGAGGAGACCCTAGGAAAGACCCATGACACGGTGGAGAGACTATGTCTCTTGGTTGGCCTGGGAATGCCTTGTAATCCTCCCAGAAAAGCTGGAAGAGGTGGCTTTGGAAAGAAATGTCTGGGCCTCCCTTCTCAAGCTGCTGCACCCATGACCTGACTTCGGAACAAGTTGAACATAATGGATGGATGGATGGATGGATGGATGGATGGATGGATGGAGGACTTCCTCTAAATGTTTTAACATCACCTCAAATCAACAGGTTGAAAGTTGGAACCAGTTGAGTGTTCCACAGAGACAATGACTCCATACATGCATCAAAACTGGTTTCTAATTGGATGAAACAGGTTGACATTAGGCTTATTATGTAATAGCCTTCCAAAAATTCTCAACTCAATTAAAAATTTGGGGACTACAATTAGAAGTTGGGTTTGTGCCAGAAATCCAACCAGTTCAAATTAATATTTTTTTGCCAAGTAGAATGGTAAAATATTAGCTAGAATTCCTTTGGAAGCTTGTTGGGGTAAAAAAAACCCACTTGTTATGAAATGCATAAGCAAATATTAGTGTGGTGTATTGATATGTTTGAGAAAATCCACAATAACTTCAAACTTGTTATGAAAAATCATTGGTTTTATGTTGTAAAATCATATGCAGTATATACACATTTATTAAGTCCAAGTTGTAATCAAATGTTTTTAGCTTAAAAAAGTAACATAAGAATTTCAATATTTGTTGTCTGGTCAGATACATAAAAATGTCCACATCAGGAAAAACCATTGCAGATTGATGCCGACAACTTAGTTTTTTTTTCTTTCCAGAATTGTCCAGCTGTTCCTGAGGACCTTCAAATACAACATCAGTAATGAAAATACAAATACATATAAAAAAAAAAGATATATCTTAATTTTACATGATGGGACAACTCAAGGAAAATGACTAAGCTGATCTGGCCAATAAGAAGCTGAGCTATCATATGCCTTACCTGCTGATAAAACAACCTCAGAGGTTTTTTTTTTTGTTTCCCCAAAAAATAACTGTGAGGATGACAATCTTTTCAGAGTTCTTGGTTTAATCTCAGGAGTCAGAAGGTGCAGGGATCTAATTATCGCTGACAAACTGAATTGATATTAGTTTTCCACCATAAAAATGCCTGATGATTTTATTAGAACACCCAGCGTACAAGTCAGTGTTCCAGGTTGGATACAGTTGGACCTCAGCTAAACCCAGAAAGTCTGCCAATACTTGAAAACATGTTTATATTTGAAGAAAGAGTCTATTTATATGTGAGTGTATGAAATATTAGGTTCTGTATGTCTAACCACCGTCACAAAGACATAGGCAGACAAACAGTGGTTGCACTCTCAAAAAGAGTCTCATCTTGTGAGACTGACCAACCATGTGAAATAGATTTTTTAATAAAGACACCACTCCCCCCCTCCCCGAACTGTCAGTTTATGAGGTCTTTGTTTAATCATGAACGTAAACCTCTTCAGCATTATTGGTGAGTCAGCTAGAAGTCAAACCCCAAATCTTCTGATTGTTGAACTTTGCCTCCAGAAGGTGCAGGGACAGAGGTAAACTCCATCCTGTTGTTCAGGGGCTTATATCAGAAACAAATACTGAATGTGCTATACTAAATGTCCCATTCTGATTCTTGTTTAACACTACGGAACAACAAAAATATAAGAACCATCATGGAGAGAATTTATTCACAATTTATCTAATTGTCAGAACATCTGAACACATCTGCTGCGTGCAACTTCTCTGCATGTTGCAGACTGAAGTCTCTATAACTGGAGGAAACAGATCATTTTCATCAGATTTTGTCATGATCTTTATTACGTGATGATAGTTAAAAGAAAATACAAAACACTTAAATTGTACAGTTTTTAGATAAGACAAATAACAACGCATAAAAACTAGGTGAATGCAACCACAGCTGAACACCTCACTGTTATTTATTGAACAAAACTGAACACAAGTGAAAAACAGAGTTATTTTTACTGCATTTATAAATCATATGTGGCCGCAAAATTTAGGTTCAGAAAGCTTTACCTGAATGAATTACAAGACTTATTTAATAACGTTCTTTGGACAAATGAGACCAAAGTACAGTTATTTACTTATAATGTACAACAGATAGCACTGCCAGCACAAACACCTCATACCAACTGTCAAACAAGGTGGTGGTGGAGGACCGATAGTTTGGGGTCCTTGCAGTCACTGAGCTGCCCATGAACTTCTTTGTGGACCAAACGATTCTTCTAGAGTCAAAATATAAGGACATTTGTCCAACAGCTGATGCTTGGACCAAACTGGGTCCAACAGAACAATGGTCTCAAGCACAGCAGCTAATCTGCATCGCTTTTTCAACGGCTCAGAAAGAAAAGAATTAAGGTGCTGTTTCAGTCCAGTCAGAGTCTAGAACCTCAATCTGACTGAAATGCTGTGGTGTAACCTTCAGAAACCAATGTGTGCAAATCTCAATGAACTAAAGCAATTCTGAAAAGAAAAATGGGGCAAAATTTCTTCACAACCATGTTAGAGACAAATAAAGTCGTACAGAAACCCAGTACTAAGAGTTCCTGCTGCTAAAGGAGGATCTACAAGCAGCTGGATCTGGGACTGGAACCAGTATTTCACATTTTGGATAGTTTTTGTTTAGTACATATTTCCAAATGTGGAGCCTTTAAGTGAGTAAATGACTCAGAAGGGTACTGATTGGCTGTAGCAAGGTGTGAGCTGTTTCTTACCTCCAGGACAATGAAAATGAAGGTGAGCGCTCCAATGCCGGACATGATGCTGCTGTAGTAGGAGAAGACTGCCTCGCGGCAGCCCCTGTTCCAGATGTTCAGCTCCTCTGTGCGGTGGTCGTAATCATAGTGGGCAGAGTTATTGGTCAGGTGATGCTGGATGCAGGGCCGCGGGGACCCAGGATTACAGCAGCTGAATGGTACGCTGTCCATTATATACTTCCCCTCCACGTTGCTCATAACACGACTGTGGGACAAATACAGTTTTGAGGTAAGATCTGGTGTCAGAACCTGATCTGTTAAGGAGAAGTCCATAAAACCACTACACAAAGAAAAACAAGTAATTCTGTAAAGTTCTCTTTTTTGTTAAAAAAAAGTATTTAAACTGTGAAGTTTGGGTCTATTTGGAGGACCAGGGGGCTCATGTATGAAAATATGTTCAACTTTCATACTGAAAGTTGGCATTAGAACAAAATGAGGAAAGTGTGTGGGCACCGAAATATTCAGATTTATCAAACCATGCACATGCTCACCTTTCCTTTCATACATTCCAACGAGTGTGGAACTTAGCACACATGAGACACCTCACCTGACACCATTTAAATAGGTAAAATAGATGCAGAAATATTTTGCATGTGAGATTTTTGTCTCTGCACATTAAAACATTCTGCTAAATTAGTCTCTAATGAATAGTTATGTGCCAGAGGGCTTTATGGTTGCTGTAATTAAACCTTTACTTAAGAAACCTGATCTTCCATCCATCCATCCATCCATTATCTTTACCCGCTTATTCCGTTTTGGGTCACGGGGGTCGCTGGTGCCCATGTCCAGCAATCACTGTGCGAGGGGCGGGGGTACACCCTGGACGGGTCGCAAGTCCATCACAGGGCCACATAGAGACAAACGAGACAAACAAACATTCACTCTCTCACTCACACCTAGGGACAATTTAGAGTTACCAATCAGCCTAACATGCATGTTTTTGGACTGTGGGAGGAAACCGGAGTACCCGGAGAAAACCCACGCATGCACGGAGAGAACATGCAAACTCCACCCAGAAAGGCCCCTGGACTGGGGTTTGAACCAGGGACCTGCTCGCTGAGAGACAGCAGCTCTACCAGTTGTGCCACCGTGCTGCCCAGAAACCTGATCTTGATTCAGGAATTCTGGATAGTTATAAATCTATATTTAATCATTCATTCATTGAAAAATTCTAGAGAAAATAGTCGCAAATCATTTGTGTGAATATCTGGACAGAAATAATCTGTTTGAGGAGATTCAATAGGGGTTTGGAGCTCATCATAGCACAGAAACAGCATTGGTGAAAGTCACTAATGATATTCTCATGGCCTCAGACAATGGACTTGTGTCTATACTGGTCCTGTTAGAACTCAGTGCTGCATTTGATACAGTTGATCACAATATTCTACTACAGAGACTTGAATATAATATTGGGATTACAGGAATGGCTCTAAAATGGTTTGAATCATAATTATTTGATAGATTTAAGTTTGTAAATGTAAATAATGTACAAACCGGATTCCAAAAAAGTTGGGACACTAAACAAATTGTGAATAAAAACTGAATGCAATGATGTGGAGGTGCCAACATCTAATATTTTATTCAGAATAGAACACAAATCACAGATCAAAAGTTTAAACTGAGAGAATGTATCATTTTGAGGGAATAATCTGTTGTTTCCAAATTTCATGGCGTCAACAAATCCCAAAAAAGTTGGGACAAGTCCATTTTTACCACTGTGTGGCATCCCCCCTTCTTCTTACAACACTCAACAGATGTCTGGGGACAGAGGAGACCAGACCAGTTTCTCAAGTTTAGAAATAGGAATGCTCTCCCATTCGTGTCTAATACAGGCCTCTAACTGTTCAATCGTCTTGGGCCTTCTTTGTCGCACCTTCCTCTTTATGATGTGCCAAATGTTCTCTATAGGTGAAAGATCTGGACTGCAGGCTGGCCATTTCAGTACCCGGATCCTTCTCCTACGTAGCCATGATGTTGTGATTGCTGCAGAATGTGGTCTGGCATTATCGTGTTGAAAAATGCAGGGTCTTCCCTGAAAGAGATGACGTCTAGATGGGAGCATATGTTGTTCTAGAACCTGAACTCTCTGCATTAATGGTGCCTTTCCATACATGCAAGCTGCCCATGCCACAAGCGCTCATGTAACCCCATACCATCAGTGATGCAGGCTTCTGAACGGAGTGTTGATAACAACTTGGGCTATCCTTGTCCTCTTTGGTCCGGATGACATGGCGTCCCAGTATTCCATAAAGAACTTCAAATCGTGATTCATCTGACCACAGAACAGTTTTCCATTTTGCCACACTCCATTTTAAATGACCCCTGGCCCAGTGCAAACGTCTGAGCTTGTGTAGCTTGCTTAGAAATGGCTTCCTCTTTGCACTGTAGAGTTTCAGCTGGCAACGGCGGATGGCACGGTGGATTGTGTTCACTGACAATGCTTTCTGGAAGTATTCCTGAGCCCATTCTGTTATTTCCTTGACAGTGGCATTCCTGTTTACGGTGCAGTGACGTTTAAGGGCCCGGAGATCACGAGCATCCAGTAGAGTTTTACAGCCATGACCCTTACGCACAGCGATTATTCCAGATTCTCTGAATCTTTTGATGATGTTATGCACAGTTGATGATGATAACTTAAAAGTCTTTGCTATTTTACGCTGGGTAACACCATTCTGATATTGCTGCACTATCTTTCTGCGCAACAATGGTGGAATTGGTGATCCTCTTACCATCTTGGCTTCTGAGAGACACTGACACTATGAGAAGCTCTTTTTATACCCAATCATGTTGTCAATTGACCTAATTAGTGTTAATTGGTCTTCCAGCTGTTCGTTATATGATCAATTTCCTTTATCCAGCCACTTATTGCTACTTGTCCCAACTTTTTTGGGATTTGTTGACACTGTGAAATTTTGAATCAACATATTTTTCCTTTAAAATGTTACATTTACTCAGATTAAACTTTTGATCTGTCATCTATGTTATATTACGAATAAAACATTGACATTTGCCATCTCCACATCATTGCATTCAGTTTTTATTCACAATTTGTTTAGTGTCCCAACTTTTTTGGAATCTGGTTTGTATCTTCTTCATGCAACAAAGTTAGTCATGGAGTGCCTCAGGGTTCAGTGCTAGGACCAATGCTTTTTATATTTTACATGCTACCATTACATATAGTTTTTAAACCGTATGGAATAAGTTTACATTGTTATGCTGATGATACTCAATTATATTTATCCATGAAACCCAATAAATCAAATCATTTAATTAGATAACAAATATGTCTTAAAACCATAAAAATCTGTATGACTCTTAATTTTCTGCTTCTAAACTTGGACAAGACGGAGATTATGGTTTTTGGACCTGAGCATTTTAGGAATACATTTTTCAGTCTTTCACTTCCTCTGGATGGCATTAATCTGGCCTCCAGTTCTAAAGTTAAAAACTTTGGTATTATTTTTGACCTAGATATGTCTTTTAACCCTCACATTACAAAAGTTACCAGGATTACTTTCCTCATCCTGTAAAAATGGTTACGCTCGTCCTTTTTTTTTCCTGCTATTCTTTGGTGGAACCAGATGTATTCCCCCCCCCCCCCCCACACACACACACACCCACTTCCCTGCTGCGCTCTTTTGTCCTGTGAACCCTTAAAAAAGCCTCTTTTTTTCCTGCATGCCTCTTAATTGGAAGGATCAGCTGGTCTCTCAACAAAATCGATCAACTTCTCCCGACAGGAGTCAGGGTAAGGAGGACCCTCTTACCTCGAAGGAAACGAATTGGATTCATGATGACAACTAGATTCTACTGTTTGGTTGGTGAAATCTTGGTTTGTCTACAAATTTGTGTGGATGTGTTGAAGCTTGACAGTGCTCGGACTGAATGTGGGAAGCTGTGACAGGGAATTGGAGCAGCTGTTAACAGGACTGTGATCTCCCTGGCAGCACTCATGAATGGTGGGAATAATCTGGAGAAGCTGTGAGCTCGACTTTTGGAGTAAAGGATCAATTCGGCTGTTTTGGAGTTTCCATCAGAGAATATGTACAGCAAGACTTTAAAGGCAGAAACAACAATCACGAGTTTTGCCTGACCCAAACTGTGGCCTTGACGTTGGACTTATCTCAACTCCTCCTGGAATGTTTTGAAAACAACAAAGATGCTTTGACTGTTTCCTCACCCCTCCCTTCCCCAAGGCCGTGGACATGTAACAGAACCTCAACTGAGCTGGTGATGAATGTCACCTCTTATCTGGACAATGGCTGAGGGGGGGCTCTGGACTATGCTATGACTTTCCCTTAAAAATTCTATGTCTTCACCGGCCTATATGTTCATGTATAACGTCTGTTTATGTCACTTTGCTGTGGTAGTTTTTTTGATGCCTCAAATTGTGCCCTGTCTAGGACACGGTGTGAGAGATCTTTTTTTAATACCGTCTCTCATCATGTTTTCTTTCCTTTTCTCATCTAAGCAAAATATTATTCTGAATAAGAATAAGAAGGCCGCGCTAATTATTTATAGCCGCAGCTTCGTGCACTCCGCCCATCTTTGGACGACTGTACGTACATATTTGCGTTGTATCTCGGTGCAATGCCAATAAAGTTTATTCTGATTCTGATTCTGAGCCTTGTTCTGCTGGCTGTTTCTACCTGTTAAAAGGGAGTTTTTCCTTTCCACTGTTGCCAGTTTGCTTGCTCAGAATGGGAGACTGTGATGAAGATTCAACACAATCTGCTGACTTCCTTAGATAGATAACTTTTACTAATTGGCTTTTATAATGTATGCAAATGCCTTTGTACAGACCTCTAAAACAACTTTTATTGTGACTTTGTGCTATATAAATACATTGAATTGAATTATTATTTATTATTTTTATTAACCTTTATTTAACCAGGCAAATCCCATTGAAATCACAGATCTCTTTTGCAAGGGAGGCCTGAGCCTAAAGGCAGCCTAACACATGTTTTTAGTCTGTGTGAGGAAACCGGAGTACCCGGAGAAAACCCCACGCAAGCATGAGAAGAACATGCAAACTCCACACAGAAAGACCCAAGGTCCAATCGGGGACTGAATCCAGGACCTTCTTGCTGTGAGGCAACAGTGCTAACCACTGAGTCCCCGTGCTGCCAATTAAAAGTTTATGTCAGTATAAAACATATTTGCCACACGAGTTAAAAGAAGTGTGTGTAAGTGTTGTTGCTTAAA